GTCAGTAACCCTGTGTGTCCTAGTGACTCTACTGCCTTGCGTGGGATGACGTGATTTTTTAAGATGGACACACACGCACACACACACACACACACACACACACACACACACACACACATATATATATATATATATATATATATATATATATTTTGTTGTACGTTAACATCAATAATTTGTAACAGATGCGAAAGTCGATTATAATCAAAAAGCTAATTAATTTACAGCACAAATCCGAAGGGTAAGTTGAGAAAGGCTGGTCAAGACTGTCTATCATACACTTAGTTAATACGATTTACAAGCCATTCACTCTTAACAATTCAGGTGAACCAGGGACACAACTCGCATCCACCTTTTGCTGAAATATGCCGAAGGCAAACGTTTCCTATCAGTTCTGATCTTTATCCTGAGCTGATGTTCAAAGAATCTAATCCGATCCTGATGAGAATAATCTTTGTCTCGAAACATTGTTCCCATTCATGTTTCCCAAATCACCATTCTGGTCTCGACTACCAGCGTAAGAAATACCACCTGTCTCCCACCAAACCACGGAGTTAACACATTGTCACACACCCACACGAAATCGATGGACACACACACACACACACACACACACACACACACACACACACACACACACACACACACACATATATATATATATATATATATATATATATATATTATTGTTGGTAATATTTCTCTCCAAAAATGTATTGTTGTCAATATTTTTTTCAAAAATATACTGACGGTAATAATGTATTGCTGGTAATAACTCTTTCTTCAAGAATGTTGGTATTATAACATATTTTTATACTTTCATTATGTTTTGACCCATTTTGGGCGGTTACCTATTTGACCATAGCTAACAGGTGCTACCACCCTGGGTGAAGGTGGACCTGGGAACACCAGCAATTAAGAGGTGGTTCCACGCTCCTCAAAACCTCATGAAGCGAGGCTTTGTTGTTGGATATAGTTTATCCTCTCCCCCAGGACTTGAAAAATATAATTTAATAAACAAAAAATCCTTTGGTCTTTCCTCTTAATAATAACATAAAGATTTGGGCTATAAAACTTTGTTTTTATTAACAGGAATTTTTTTTATCATATATGCTCATTTTTCAGCAAATCCTTGGAGGTATCTATCTTTCTATATATATAAACATTATATAAATACCTACATGCAACAAACTATTTATTACTTAACAGTTAAAATATTTCATCCTTGAAAATGGCTAAATGTATAGCCGAAAGCGCTAGGATGAAAAGAACATTCGGACAGTTTTTATATAATTTATCATCCGAAAAGAAAAAAAATATTAGATCTCATGAGAAATTGTATAAAAAGCTAAATCAAAGCACCTTGTCTGTCGTTCTTAATGAAATGTGCATGAAAGAAGGATTGCTGCCAAAATACACACACACATACACACATATATATATATATATAATTTAAGACAGCTAACCTTACCCTCAAAAATAACAGCACACGAGAAATTACAAAGAACGAACATTATCTATGCGTTCAAATGCCCCTTAAGTAACTGCGTTCCTGATCAAATTCTCCATTAGAACCCATTTAAACACATACACAAACTGACCAGACTCAATAAGAAACATGTGCGTGTGTTTTTCTATAAATTATTATGATCTTTTGATAATGACCGACATCTTTATTTACTTCATTCTGTTATTTCTTGTGATATTGGTATTACATCGGTTACACAACTACATACTTACATTACACCTATCTGATCACAGCTCCATTAGAACCCATTTAAACACACACAAAATTTTACTAGACAACATTAGAAACATTACCAGTAGAAAACACAAATATAATAACTTCATCCACATGTAAAAAAAGATTAAAAATAATGGAAGCTTTAATAATAATAAAAAGAAAAGGCCAACTCTTAACAATATTAACTACGAACAAAGCCACAATGTTCTAACCGTATTCGGAAATTAAAAACATCCCTACCACACACTAAGACATACACATAATGCACACACTCAATTAAGCTGAAAAATCGAGTCATCCTTGATAATGGCTAAAGGTATAGCCGAAAGCGCTCGGAACTATAAAACATTTGGACTGTTTTCACACACTCTTTGTCCAGAAAAGAAAGCTCTTGTTCGAAGACAAGAAAAATTAAATAAAAAGCTTAACCGTAATACCTTGTCTGTCGTTTTTAATGAAACATGCATATCTATCTATCTATCTATATATATATATATATATATATATATATATATATATATATATATATATATGTGTGTGTGTGTGTGTGTGTGTGTGTGTTTTATAAATTATTATGATCTTTTGATAACGACCGACATCTTTGTTTACTTCATTCTGTTATTTCCTGTGATATTGGTAACATGGCTGACAAAATGGATTTTACCATGACGGAACACAATGAATGACTTAGCTGAAGTCAACTGCAATTGAGTGTTGTGAAACGAATTGTATATGTTTTTTAGACAGGTCAAATTCAAGAAATATCGAGGCCCAGAGAGTGGAGGAAGAAAGTGAAGCAGTTAGAATTGTGTGTGTGTATGAGAGGCGGGGTCTGATGTACAGTAAACTTTGTTTTTGATCGTAAAGGGGGGAGATACCTGACCGTAACTGAACATGGCGATTGTCATTGCATATCTACAATTAGCAACTGTAGACAATGACACTGAAATTACTTCCATTTTTCTGAATGGGTGACATCGCTCGTCAGGGAGCCGGCTTAAGAGAATGCCTCGTCAATTATGGCTCCTGTCCATTTGGCTGTCTGCTTTGTCGCCGTATCAAGCAAGACAAATGTCAAAGTCGTTCATTTCTCTTTTCGGTGGGATTTATTTGTAGACATATATAATGAAAGAGAAAGTAAGAGATGAGTAGGAAGGAGAAAAAGAGCCTGAAACAAGAGAAAGAAAGAAAGAAGATGTGGAGAAGAGAGAGAGTGGGGGGTGAAAAGAGTTAGGGACGGAGAGAGGAAGCGAAAGTGATATAGAGGTGGGGAGAGTTAGAGAGAAGAAGGGAGAAAGAGAAGAGAGAGAAGAGACAGAGAGAGAGAGAGAGATGAAAAGAATATGAGCGGGAGAGAGAAAGTGAAAGTTAGACAGAGTGGGAAGAGAGCTAGAGGGAAGAAGAGAAAGAGAAAGAAATATAGAAAAGGAGAAAGAGAAGATATATATATATATATATATATATATATATATATATATAGAGAGAGAGAGAGAGAGAGAGGGTAAATGTCAATTCCGAATACCATTATATCCGACGTTACGCCACTGAACATCACATAAGCCTTAATAAAATAAATGCTTCCTTAAAAAATGTCAATCGTTATCTACTGTCTACAGTTTATTACTGATTGAATACAGCAATTTTGGCACAAGACCGAAAAAAGGCGGGAAATGGGTCAAGGTTCGTCGACATTATCTTGTATCTAGCTGATCAGATTTACAAACAATTCATTCGTAAAAATTTACTCATTCATAATAAGAAACTATCCGTTCCCATTCGCTCTCACATGCACCAAAATGCCTCATGCACACAAGCCACCTAATAAAAAAAACAACACTTCACGTAAAAATTCCAAAACATATGTACAATTGTATATACAAAAATAATTATAACAATAATAATAAACGTTAAAGATAGTGATATTACTACTTCTACTACTACTGCTAATAATAATAATAATAATAATGGTCCGATTGAAAATAAAGTGACTTATATTTAGATGAACAATATACATCTTATTTATAAATCTACCATTTGTCCATGGTAAGAATATTGCTGTCACGTCTGGTCTGATGATTTTGCTTTCTATTTACAAATTCTCGATAATCTAAAAGAATCTGCCATGTTATTTGTTCTGATCTGGTATCTCGGCTTCTGCCACTTGCCCGCCGCCGTAACGTTCTTTCGTTGTGTCCTTTCTGTAAATGTAATTGTTCTGATTAGTTTTCCTCTATGGTGCCCGGATTTTATAGATTTAAGCGCAGTACTAGATTGGCGGCAAGGTCTCATCATTTTACACAGAGAATTGGTTATCTGTAACCGTAAGTTCTATGCTAACAGTTTCTTCCTTCGAATTTTTTGCTTGTGAAACTCAATTCCGGCATCTTGTTTTCCAGCCAACGTCCATCTTCAAAGATTTAAATGCAGTGTCGATCGTTATCTTCTGTCTTGTTAGTTCCTTTTTTTTTATTGTTCTCCTTCCTTAATAAACTGTTCTTATTCTCGTATTCATTGATTCATACTCAGAAACCCCTGCGGTTTAGTTGCCTTGCTTGGGGTGAGATGATTTAAAAATAAGCATTAATAATTTTATTGTGTCCGTTATTCTTTAAAAAATATGACTAAAATGGATTTTCAGTGATTTTTTTTAAGTTTCAGCTATAGTTTAAAATCTTTTGCGAATTATTTACCTTGTCTGACTGTGCCTTTTAACGACATTGGGTCCGGTTTACGTCAAAAACCAATTAGTGACGTAGATCAATGCATTTTTGTTCTGTATTTTAAAAGATTAAACCATATAAGAACAATGACAGGAAACAGATACACATGTCAGAGGGTATCCCCCAGACGTGGCTCTACCGAAGGGCAGAGTCTCATCTCGGGAAACCGACTCCGTTTTTTACGTGGTCTATAGGGAATTTTCGCCATGGCCTACGGGCTCGGATACCCCACTTTAAACTCGGCCTTGTGCCACATCTTGCTCCGTGGGGCAGCCGGTAAATAATCATATATTGAGATTATTAACTCATGGGGTGTTTTTTCCCAATAGTTGCCAAGTGTGTGTGCGGTGTTTTGGTGTATTTTGGTGTATGAAGAAGCAAATGGCGACGAATAAATTGTTATGGTGAATGAGTATATTGTAACGAATGAATGGGTCGTGAATCTTAGGTATAGAATAGCTATTGATAACCAACGTTGACCAGTTTCCCCACTTTTCTCGGCCTTGTGCCACAATTACTGTATCATTAATAAATCT